CTGAGCAGATAAAGACAGAAATTGAGAGTAAGAATTTAGAAAGATTTACAGCACTTGGGCATTGCCATGACATCTTGGGCACATCACCAGTGGCATTGCCTCATAGAACAGGATTTGAACCAAAAGTATCAGTCCATAAAAGATTGGAAATTAAAAAGAGTTCTTTATTACAGATAGTTTCAGAAGCACAGTGATGTAATATTTTCTTATATAGAATTCTAAATTTCCCCCAATGCCTGAATAAAAGATAATTTCTGAATGTGCTCAGGATTATTACAACATCACAAATACTCATCAATTGATTGTATTTATAAAAGAGGTTTATGAGCGATTTGTTGACCTTAAAGAGTAATGACACAGGTTTCTATTAAAATAATCCTTTTATCCATTCATCCATTTATTAGGCATTGCATTCAGTAAATATTTATTATTTGCCTACAGTTGACCATTCTCTGGTGAATAAGGGAAGCCCAACTCCTGGCCTTATGTGGTAATCAGGCAGTTGCAACATCAAACCTCCCAGTGCAAACCTGTATATTTGATATTGCAATTTCCTGATTACCACATAATCGTGATAAGAATAGGTGGGGAGTATAGTCTGCTCTGGGGGCATCAAGAAGGAGCACCAGACTTGGGATGTCAGAGGATTTTCTAAGCCTTAAAATAAGCAACTATTAAAAGCAGATAACTCACAAAATAAGTCACTCCTTACAGATTGTGATACATCTTTTTTGAGGGCTTATACCATGAGTCAGGGACATGTTTATGGATGAAACAGACACAGTCCCTGCCATGTGAGGCGTGTGAACTAGTTCAAGAAAATCAATACATGGACAAGAGGATTTCCGATGTTGATGAACTCCAAGAGGAAAAAAAATTGAGTGCTGGGTAAGTGTGAGTGTGTGGGGGTGAATATATCACAGAGATTAATCAGAAGAGCCCCCACTTAGGAGAGCACATCTGACCTGAAACTCAAAGGATATGGAGAAGCCAGCGTGAGGTTATGGGAAAAGGACAGTAAGCAGGCAGAAAGTGCCAAGGCTTTAAGGCAAGAATAGAGTTGGCATGTGCATGGGCACAAATGGTCTTAGTCTGTTTTGTGCTGCTATGATAGAATACTGCAGACTGGGTTATTTATTTATTTGTTTATTTTTAAGAGACAGGTGCTGTTGCTCAGGCTAGAATGAGTAAAACCATGAGGGCTCACTGCAGCCTCAACCTCTTAGGCGCAAGCAATCCTCATGCCTCAGCCTCTTGAAGCTGGCACTGTAGGTATATGCCACCATCCTTGGCTTATGTTTAATTTTTTTGTAGAGATGGAGTCTCTATCAGCCCAGGGTGGTTTCACACTCTTGACCTCAAGCGATACTTCCACTTCAGCCTCCCAAGGTCTTAGGAATACAGGTGTGAACAATCATGCCTGGCAGACTAGGTAATTTATAAAGAACGGTTCTGAAGGCTGGAAAATCCAAGATCAAGGTGCTAGTAGGCTTGGTGTCTGGTAAGTGCCCAGTCCCTGCTTCCAAGATGGCACCTTAAACACTGCATTCTCTGGAAGGACGTCACATGTTTTCTTACATGGCAGAAGAGCAAAGAGAGAGAACTCATTCCTGGAAGCCCTTTGTAAAATGCACTCAGCCCACTCATGAAGACAGACTTTCATGGCTCAGTTCTCTCTCAAAGGTCCTACCTCTTAGTACTGTTTGAGTGGCAATTAAATTTCAACATGAATATCGGAGAGGCCAGACATTCAAACCATAGCAGTTGGCACGTTCGTGGGTTCATGTTTCTCTCTAGAAAGCCAACATGGCTGAAGTGGAGGAAGCAAGAGGGGGAGAAGAGGACGCAAGCTCAGAGCAGTGCAAGTCATGGTTGGAAGCCAGGTCCAATAGGGGGCCACAGGAAGGTTGTAAGCCACAGAGGGGTATGATCTGATTTACATGTTAAAGCATTCTCTGGGGTCCTGAGGATGTAGAGGAGCCAGGGTGGAAGCAGAGAGACTGCTGAGAGGATTGTGGCAGTCATCCAGGGAGAGATGGTGGCTTGGAGTAGGGTGATAGCAGGGGGAGTGGAGAGAAGGAAAAGCTATCTTGGTTTGCTGGTGGCTTAAATATGGGAGGTAGAGGAAAGAGAGGAGCCAAGAATGTCCCTGAGAGAGCTTTTGTCTAGAGATCCAGTATGGTACCAGTTATCAAGATGAGAAGCACTAGGGACATTTGGTACTAGGGAGGTGGAGTCAAGAGTTCTGTTTAGGGTATGTTAAATTTGGAATGCTTATTAGATATCCATATGGTGACTTTGTGAATTTAGGAGATCAGAATGGGGTTAGGGCTGAACTTATAAATTTAGAATTGCTGGTGGTATGTAAAACCACAGGACTGCAAGAGATCCCTGGGAGAGGGGCCAGACAGAGAACGGAAAAGAGCCAAGGACTGAGCTGCTAGGACTCGAGATCATACCAACATCTGGAGAGGTCAAGCAAAGAAAGAGGGAAATAGTAGTTGGAAGCTAATGCAGTAGGCTTTGCTTAGATGGTATCCATAGTAAAGATCTTTTTTTTTCCATCTTTATTTATTACTTATTGCATTTTAGGTTTTGGGGTATGTGTGAAGAACATGCAAGATTGTTGCATAGTTACACACTTGGCAGTGTGATTTGCTGCCTTCCTCCCCATCACCTATTTCTGGCATTTCTCCCCATGCTATCTCTCCCCAACTCCCCACCCCCCGCTGTCCCTCTCCCTCCCCGCCCCCCGCCCTGACAGACCCCAGTGTGTGATGCTCCCCTCCCTGTGTCCATGTGTTCTCATGGTTCAACACCCGCCTATGATCTTTTACCTTCATTATCCGCAGCTCTTCCACATGGAGTTGGTGACTATAGTGCATATATGTGGGCACTCTGCCCAGAGCCTCTCCCATTCCTTGGGACTGTATGTCCTGGTATTGGCTTCAACAGCTAGATTTTGTATGCCTGTTTTAGGGGACTGCCTCTAAGTGACTTGAAGTCACTTTACCATGAGAGAGGAATGCCTGGGGAGTTATGACTGAAGGCTAAGGGAATATGAGAGCCAGGCTCTCACTTCTCTCAGTTTAGATAGCTCTGAGGACTAATCTACACTGCAGCATTCCTCTATGGACTGAGATTGAAGCCACCCTCCAGAGAGCCTTTCATTAGCACCCTTGCCTGACCTCTGTTGGGAATACTTTCTTAATATATTGTCTGCCTTTGGGCAACTTGACTTAAGATATGGCCTGCCCTTCCTACCCCTCTTACACCATCTCCCATTTTGTATTATAGTGTATATAGTGTCTTGAAAAAATAACCAAAATAATGTAATCATTTTTGTTGATTTAAAATGAGATTAGGTTAAATATTTTAAAGCATTCCCAACTCCTCAAAGGTTTTTTCAGGATATCTTCATTTGAGCAGCCATTAAATGGAAAGGATGTTGTGTCTTATCCTAAAAGCAATTGTCTGTTTCTGCGGATACTGGTGAATTTGTTTACTGTTTAATTAAGTGAAACATTTCCAAAGAGTTATCTATATTCAGTCTTCCAGCTCACAGAGTACATGCTGATCTCAAACTGATATACGATTAGATCTTGATTTCCTGTTCACACACTTGGTCAATACAATTATGTAAATTAAGCAAGAGAATAAGACAAAGTGTTTAGCAGGGTGTGATCGTGGCAAATGCCATCTTCTAGCAGAAGAAGCCTGTGAGCTTTTCCATCCGCTCTCCTGTGCTTGTCATTGTGGCTTTCAGTTTCTGCTTCTAAAACAGTCTGTAGCTTTAGTTTGAGCAGGAATTTAATGCCAACAGCAGGACAGTGTGGCTATGCAGAGTTTTTCTTCTGTCTTTGAGGGAAAAGCAAAGTCAGATTCTATTTATTTCGAATGGATTTCCATTGTTTTAGAACTTATGGGGCATTTTTGTATTTGCATATTGAAAACACTTGTGTCTTTTGCTTTTTAACAGTAATATAGAGATCCTCCATTCTTTTTACCTCCCCTTCTCTCCCCTCTCCTCCTCTTCCTTTCTTTGAGAGTAAAAACAGATGCTAAGTCTCTATCTGAACACCTCACGAATACATTTTAAAGTTCATGATTGGGTTTTTGTTTGTTTTTAGCTCGTGGTGGAAGCGCATACCTGTAATAACTTCCTTTACCTCTCAGCAGTTTTCAGTCTGAGAGCAGGCGTAGTAAACCTATAAAGCAGGTGTTATATCCTAGGTGTAATCCTAAAGTGTTCATATTGTACCTTTTCTGGTTGTGCTTCTGTGCTGAGTGACTTGGTCCCCGGCTCTTAATTTTAGCCCAGCTATTTGTCAAACATACGACAAATATATTGGGAAAATCATTTTTTTTAATCCTTAAACTGTCTTTGAGCATTTCACAAAATTAAATTTCACCGGATTCAGTGGAAGTGAAATGCCCATTGGAACATTCCTTTTGCCTCTAAGTGCTTTTGAAACACTTGGATTTTGACCATAGATTTCACAATACATTGAAGCATGCTATTATAAGACAATAATGCATACTTTTTCATGCCTGGACAACACATTAAAGTCAAACTGTGGCATTGAAACACAGTTGGAAAATTTTACATCCAGTCAAATTAAACCCACAGGACACAATTTTATATTTGTTCTGTAATTGAAAGTGTGGGTATCTTCAATTTTCTGTGTCTATTCTGAAAACTAAAACAATTACATTAGAAATTGACTAAGAAAAATAAACGCACACAAATTGTTCTTTTTCTATTGGTGAACCTATACTTACCTTTTGCGTGAGGGTAAAGCATACCCTAAATATTCCCAATGTCCTTTGAATGATAAAAAGTAAATAATATTCATATCAACACCTTTATTATTGTATTAGAACTAAATCTAGGTTTTCCATGTTTAAATAGACATTATGAGAGGATTTGTCTGTATTGACCGAGAATGTTTTGGCGTACAGAACCCAACCAAAGTTTTCCCTCTGGTTTACTTTGAAAGGAATGCAATGTTAATTCAGGGGCACTGATGTTTTACAATGCCTGATCAAGACGAAAAGGTGAAGACCACAGAAAAATCAACTGATAAAAAACAGCAAGAACTCACCACCAGGTAACTCCCTTCTGAGTGTTTGCTAATCATTAACTCAGCCAGTGGCTATTGAACAGATTGAATGGCTTTTTGAAAAATAGAGAAGACTCTTGACAACTACTATTCAGAGTTATACTGTTCAACTGAAACATTTGGTCATTTCTAGCACTCTAAAGAAAACGTTTAGTGTGTGTATACGTTTTGGTTTATAAAAGTAGGCCTCCAAGTGGCAATGCCATCAGTGGGTAACATGATCTTGTTCACCTGGAGCCTTCTGTGGGTTCACATTGTGTTATTCTCTCTCCTAGGGACTATTCAGATCTTAAAAGACTCCGGTGCCTTTTGAACGTCCAATCAAGCAAACAACAGGTAGTGGTTTCAAAGAATGTCCAAGTGGTAATATTAAAAAAATTGTGTGTTTCAAAAGCGCTCCATTTAACATCTCTATGAATGATATTTCTGCTTTTCTTTGTTCATTCACATCTTTACTGTTTCTTCATCTGGCTATTTCTCTGACACCTGGTTCAGGCTCTGCCAAGGCTTGGCATCCACATTCTTCTCCTCTCAGGCCAGGCCCTGCTTTAGCCTATGCATGTTGCCCTGTGTCCTACTTAGCAAACCCTTTTCTCTTCAGTCTGTAAACAAACTGCATACTCTTTTACTGAATGGCCGACATTTGACTTTCCGAGCTTTAGGGAAATTATTTTTTTCCAAAGCACTTTCCAACACATTTTTCTCCTTCTCCCCACTCACTCTTCCCAGTCCTGCTCCCTTGCTACAGTACCACTCTTGAGGCTTGTTGCACAATGTACCTCACCAAAAAGAGTGGCAAGGAGTGAGTTTTGGCTATTTTCATACTAGCATTTTAATGTTTATATTTTATTTTATTTGAGACAGAGTCTCACTCTGTCACCAGGCGCCAGGCTGGAGTGCAGTGGCACAATCTCGGCTCATTGCAATCTCTGTCTCCTGGGTTCAAGCAATTCTCCTGCCTCAGCCTCCCAAGTAGCTGGGACTACAGGCACGTGCCACCACGCCCAGATAATTTTTGTATTTTTTAGTAGAGATGGGGTTTCGCCACGGTGGTCAGGATGGTCTCGACCTCTTGACCTCATGATCTACTCACCTCTCCCTCCCAAAGTGCTGGGATTACAGGTGTGAGCCACCGCACCCTGCCACATTTTAATGTTTTTATTAAACAGAGAAAGAATGGTACTTCTGCTTGAATTTATCTCCAAACTTTTCACCTTGGTTTTGCATCTGTGAGACTTTGGAAAGCCATGACATTAGAGTCCAGAAACTTTGAGGGAGGCTTGGGGAACAACATAGCAATGCTAATAATAATGAAAATAGCAGACACTTATTTAGCACCTTAACTAGTAAATGGCAGGGATGAGATCCGAACCCTGGTAGTCTGTATCTAAAGTCTACATGGTTCTTGCTTAAGTGAATTTGTTTAAGAGCTCTTGTGTTTGGTCATCCAGCCCTGATGTTTTTTTTTTTTATATCAACTACATTTACCAGCTAACTATGGCATTTTTACTTATCTGCTTATACTGGACAATGATTTGATGGTGTATAAAAGTCGAATAATGATACAGGAAACACTTTCTATGTGCCCTACACTTTACCTGCATTACCCTGCTCAATAATTGCAACTCCCACTTTTACAGATGAGGAAACAGGCACAAAGAAGTTAAGTGACTTTCCCAAGATCATACAGCCTCCTAATTGGTGAAGGCTAGTTCTGAACCCAGGCACCCCATCTTTGCGGTGTATGCTTTTAACTACTGAGATGCCTTTTAAACAACTTGTGAAATTAAATCTGTCCTTTCTTAAAGAGGCAAGCAAGATGGCTCAGCATGCAGTTTTGAATGTAGTGCCTATTCTTTTCCACTATACATCCTGTGGAGCAACCATCATATCAAAGACTTCTACTTTTTGCTTTTACCATTTCCATCTCCTAAATTTCTTATAAAATCTCACCCATTTCCAAGACCCAACTGTAATGATACTACCTTCATCTATCTTCCATTCTAGAGGTGAGCTCTGTCTTCCCAAGGGTCCTTCTTTTACTGCCGTAGCATTATTTTCTCCTGTGCTTTGGAAACTCTTGTTTACATGTCTTATTTCCTGACAAGATCACGTATTTCCTCATGCCAGCAACTTTGACATTTGCCTCTGGTTCACTACATTTGGTGAGTTCTTGGCCAGTTTTTGCTAAATTGAATTGTGACTTGAGAACTGGGTCACCACATGAGTATGTATAACTTCCTGGCCAGGGCAAAACCCCCCCAAAAACCAAAAACCAACCAAACAAACAAAAAACCCAGTGTGGTTTCTCTGGCTCTAATTTTCCAACTTTGAAGTTTATGCTAACTAGATCTGTGTCCCCTTTCGACACTGCTTGCTTGATAACACCTGGCAGGCATAATTAAAGTTGATTTAGTGATTTTTTTTACCCCTTTAACCAGTTTTCAAATTTGCCATCTATCATGTGGGACAACTTTACATGGCATACATGTTTTAAAATGTTTCACATGTACAAAAATGCATGTTTGTAATGTGTGAGTTATTCAGAAAGTGGATGGTGCTGAAAAAATTAAAATACTGTCAATTAAATGAAGATCCTGAGGTTTACAAAATTAATGCCTAATTGTGTTTATAAAAGTTTCATGCATTTGTAATTTTGAAATAAGAAATGTTACCCTATTCTCCTTTTGGTAAAATATTGTGGAGATATTTATAAGAGAAGGAAGATATTGGAGAAAATAACTCAAGTTATACTTATTTATACTTTGCCTGCTCCAGAAAGAGTGATTAGGAGCTTATAGAGAGAAAGTATGATGGGTTGTCACAAATTAAATTCGGGGCCCAAAATAAGAGAAAAACAAGGGTTGGGAGCAATGTAGAGTTGGGGTGAAGTGGAAATGCTCAACAAAATTTATACATGGGCAACATATTTGACTCCAAGATTTTCAGTACTCAATTTGAAAAGTGAAACCTGTGATTAAGGCCCACTCAGCTGCATTTGCTGCCCTAACAAGTTGTGGTCTGTTTTTTGCAAATAAACCAGGCTGGCCAAATATGGGTTACAGAGGAAATCTACCTTATAGGTAGGTGGGGAGAGCAGAGAACTGAATGCCCTTCCTCTGAATCTCTAATGAGCCAGGCTGCTTCCCCCATTGTTTCATTGTGTTCCAGTGTTCCACGTGTGTTCTTAGTCCTGACCTACACTCTGTGTAGCTCTCCATGTCTCTAGGACAGTCTCATAATATGACAGAACTGGAGACAGAGACACACAAAGGCAGAAAGGCCTCCTTCAAGATAAGCAGAGTTAGAATAATCATAATCTAGGAAAAACCATTAATTCAAGAAAGAGAACTGCCCCAGGATTGTTGAGGCAAAGTGAAACTACAAAGCTCATTGGAAATGTCACCAGAGGTATTCACAGATCTTGAAGCAACCTGCCTAGACCTGGAATTCAGATTCTTTTCTTCCGTCACATTTAGAGCCATAGGAAACTAAGGAATTTATTTGCAATTAAAAAAAAAAAGAGGAAGAAAAACATTAATTTATTACGGGCTTATTAAGTGTCTTGAAATAAATGAGGTTTTGATAGATGCTGTAGAAAGAAAACATAAGGCGTGGTTGTGGTTCTTGCGTTTGAAGAGAGCAGAGGTAGGCACAGATAATTATGCTATGGGACAAGACACCATCCAGTGAGTATACAGGTTTTGAGGAATAGGAGGCCAATTTTAGCTTGAATGACAAGGAAAGAGGTGGTTTTTAAAAAATAGTCTGGTTTTCCATCAGTGGAATTGATGGAAAGGGCATTGTAGGTGAAGTGAGTAAAATAATCAAATATCTGAAGGAAGGAAAATGACAAGCATTTTAACAAAATGGTTGACTAGACAATTCTATTCAATAAATAAAGCTGGAAGTCACTGTGAAATGTCTGAAGGCCTACCTATGAATTTTGGACCTGACTCCATAAGCAACAGAGAATGTTAAAGTTTGTAAGCAGAAGTGACACGACATCCTTGACATCTGCTCCATGGCCTGCCCTATCTCTCCTTTACTTCCCACCACAACAAACCCCTGTTGGCTAATTTTGCCTCATGTTCGTCATGCTTGTTTACTGACTGCAACCCCGTCCCACGACCCATGGGACTGTAAACTCCTTGAAGGCAGAGGCCATGACTGTTCTGCTTAATATATATGTATTTATATATATATGTATACAGTGTCTCACGCAATGTCTCATATGTGAGATGTCTGCAACAAACACACTGAATTAATGAATGCACTTATTTGGAGGTGGTTTATCGATGAGTTAGTTTGGCAAAGAGACTGGGAACAAAGTGACCATTCATTCCACAGTTTCACATTTGAATACCTATGATATGCCCAGCTCTGTGAGAGGGGCTAAGAACACAAAGATTGTGAGATGTGGTGCTGCCCTCAGGGTGGCTAAATTCAAGGAAAAAATATGGTGTGTAAGTGTTGTGTAAACTTACATTATACTAGACTGAGATACGTTTTGAAAGAGAGGTCAGCATGGTGTTGCCACCAGGGAAGGAGTGAACAGCTCTATCCAGGAACGCTTGGGCACGTGCTTACCAGGAGGTTATTTAAGTCACACCGTGACTCAGGATCAGGAGTAGCAGACCGCAGATGCCCAGGTGTGGAGAGATCCTACACACGGAAGACAGATAAATTGGGAACCCAAGAGAAAAGGCTGTAGGTTTTGAAATGGATTCCTAATGTACGTTTCTTTCATATGAAGTGCTACGTGCTTCAAGGTGCCTACTATTCAGTTTCTGGTCTTTGCAACTATTGATGCCAAATCCATCTTATCCACCCGCTTTCCAGAGGTGATTTCCGATACTGGCTGCCTGCTCTGCCTGCAAAGCGGACGAACGGCTGCAGGCTGTGGCAGCTTTCCACTCCTCCCTTGGAATCACCTGGGCTTGCTTTCTCTGTGCTGGCCTATTTGTCTCTTGCACACTTTTCTGGGAGTTGTGCTAATGGCAAGGGAGTTTGGAATCTCTTGGGCCTGGAAAACCTGCTTCTTTTTGCCGTGTATCATAATATTTTGGGTATAACATGGGAAAATTTGCTTGTGCTGTTACCTCATGATAGATATCATTTGGGTTAACAGTTCATATTCAGAAATCACCTAATTTGTAATGACAAATTTTATTCATTTAGCAAAATTCATCTGCATAATGGGAATACGAGGATTAAAAGAGTATGTACAAAACAATTAGAACTCTGCTTGGCACATGGCCAGTGTTTTATAAATAGTAATCCATACAATTTTCATAATAACTCTTGAGTTATATACTATTATTATTTCCATTTTAATGATACAGAAGCCGATGCACAGAGAGACTGAGTAAATTTTCTAAGGTTGTGCAGCTAGTTAATTGTAGATTTAAATGCATAAAATCTGGCAAGGGAATTTGTTCTCTTAACCACTAAGCATTGCTGGCTCAGCTTATTGTCTTTTGGTTGTTGTAGATTGGCTGACTGAACTGAGATAGGATGGAAGATTTATTGTTAATATTTTGAAAATTTGACTGTGGCTGGTGTATGATAAAAAAGGATTTTAGGTTTTTTTGGTTAACTCTTAAACAATGTCTTTATTATCAGCCATTTTTCTGTAAGCTGACTACCTTATAAGAAGTGAGGCATAGTCTTCTTTAATAAGGAAATCATGTCTTTATACTGATTTACATTAAATACTTCAATGAAATAAGACAAGTGCAACATATTATAACTGTTTGGTAATATGTAGAACAGAATGATTTACTGAAAAATGATTTTCTTGTTATACTCTGCTAACCTCATCTTAATAATTTAGCTAACTAAGGCCGGGCACGGTGGCTCAAGCCTGTAATCCCAGCACTTTGGAAGGCTGAGGCGGGTGGATCACGAGGTCAAGAGATCGAGACCATCCTGGTCAATATGGTGAAACCCCGTCTCTACTAAAAATACAAAAAAAATTAGCTGGGCATGGTGGTGCGTGCCTATAATCCCAACTACTCCGGAGGCTGAGGCAGGAGAATTGCCTGAACCCAGGAGGTGGAGGCTGCGGTGAGCCAAGATCGCGCCATTGCACTCCAGCCTGGGTAACAAGAGTGAAACTCCATCTCAAAAAAAAAAAAAAAAAAAAAAAAATTAGCTAATTATAGAACATCCTTCATTTGCACTTTGGAATATTTGTCTATCCCATGCTCAACTTTATTGTGGTATCAGAAACGAATCTCAGGGTTATCCCAATTATAGACAAATATTGGTAAGTGATAATCTGACAATTTATTATTGCAAGTGGAAGCATAGTCAAATTGTTGTAGTTAATGTTTTTCTTATGGTGAATTTGATTATTTTAACGTCTTTTACAAATATGAGTTATCAGGATTTCAGACTGGTTAGAAGTGATAGAATCTTCTTGATTGTTATATCGCTAACACCTGGTAAATATTGACGAGTGAATGAATGCATGATGACTCATTCTCAATTTGAGCACTCTGCTCTATATTAGGGTATTCTACCAGACCCTCTCTAGTCAGCTTGCACATTTGAATCACATGAGAAACTTTAAGACCTCCTGATGCCCAGGTGTCACCCCAGACCTATATCTGTTTTAGGTGTTGGGGTAATAGCATTGAACAAAAACAGGCAAGTTCCTGTTTGTGTTGAGGTGACATTGTAATGAAGGGAGGCTAAAAGTGCATAAATAACTGTCAGATATGACAAGTGGTGTTACAAGCTATGAAGAAAAATAATACAGTGTAAGATAAATGTTCAAGTCAAAGATACTTGATTTGAATCTTGGAAAACCCTTACACTTGACAGGGTTGTAATCTTAATTATTAGCCTAGAAAAATACTCATTCTCATCGTCCTCCCCTATTTTGTTACATTCTTTATCTAGTGCTGAATTGTTATCCTCATGTACTCTATGCTTCTATTTCTGTAGCTTCCAGCCATTAACTTCGATAGTGCCCAAAATAGCATGACGAAGTCTGAGCCCACCATCAGGGCGAGTGGACACAGAGCTCGAGGTCTGTGGCACGAGTCCACAGAAGCTGTTGAACTTGAAAATTTTAGGTAAGAAATCCAGCATCCCCCTCATCTTCAGCTACTTATTCTACTTAGCTCTCAGTTTTATTGAAGTTTATCCTAGGAGCTAAAATTTAAAACCGGCTTCAATATTTACCATAGAGATTCTTAATTTAATATTGTTAGTTAGTGCTTAAACCATTCCCAGAAATAATATGTAAATAGCAGGCTTAATGGGTACAGGTGGAAATGACCTGGGAGATTTAGAACACTGTGCTGACATGCATTTGGCATTTGCTCAATGAGGAAGTGGTTCCAGATTATTGACCTGGTAAGTCTGATCCCAGTCTTTGTCTGTCTAGATCTTGCCAGTAATGAGACGGCATAAAAGGAGCCGTTGCTGTGACAAGATGTGGTGGTTAAAGTATGTGGTTGTCAAAACAACTGAGGTTTTCAGTTGAAGGGGTTGCAGCACACCTCTAACATTGAGAGTGCAGGTAATGTTCATCTCTGCTGCCACGTAGACCTCTGCAAAGCTGCACATTCTTGTGGGTCACTCCTCTTTCCGGAGCTGGTTCTCTCGGTTTTACAATGTGCTTGGGTCATTTGGCACTAAATGCCATGTAAATAATGAGTGGCGTGAAATATCAATGTGAACATTCTAGAAGGATCATTGTTTATTTGGCCTAGATTTGGTTTTTGTTTCCCTGTCATCTAATGACAATGAATTTAATAGTACAGGAAAGTTACATGACATTTCATGGGTTCATATTTTAAAAATATTTTTTTAGTGAGAAGCACTTAAAAAATTGTCCTGTAGTAAGTACCAGTGCCCATGTATTAAAGGAACTATTACAGCCCTTGGGTGACTAGGATGGGGACATGCTGTCTAATGGCATCTGAAAGACTGTGAAGACAGAACATTACACATGGCAACATAAGGTTACACACCTTTCATTTGAGGTTGTATGTTCATGGAATTCCAGTTTATTTGTCCTAGATCTTAACATTAGTTTTATTTAACTATGTGCAAAAATATCATATCACGTATTCGGTAGCAATGTGACCCTTTTGTTCATTATCTCTTATCCTTTTCCAGTTTTAAAAGGGAATGTTAAGGAGGTATTTTTAACCTCTTTGGTGGGCGGTAATATCAGCAAAAAGAAACTGAAGCTGGAATATCTCAGAATTTTGTTAAATGCACACACAAAAACCATATAAACAATCAGCAATGACAGTCAACATGGTGAAGGAGTATAAACTATGTTTAATAAACTCCCCTTATCTAGAAGGAATTATATATGATGACCACTGGTGTTGACAGCTAGATCAGCCAGTGGGCTGGAGCGTAACTGGAAAAGTGGAGAGAGAATTCTTCTCTTCCTGTTACACAGCTATCTAAATAATGTGCCCCAATCATTATTTTTTTCCATTTACCTCTTTCTTCCCTCCAACCAACTTTAGCTGTTAAGTGTTTTTAGGGAATAATTTAATGAGTATGGTAAAAGGAAATGCATATGCTTGACAGTAGTTTATTTTCAACTTTATAATTTAATTTGTAGTTCCCATTTTAACAGCTGACAGCTGCTTTTAGCAACATGTCAAACGTAAGGCTCCTTCAATATTTGCCTGAATCCTCATTAGTATAGTGGTTAGTAATAATAAAAAAATTACCTGAATATAGATGATCTTTGTCTGCATTGGCAACTTTGAGACAGCATGTTCTCTATTACGAAATCCTTTTCTGTTTGTTTTGTCTCAGTATAAACTACAAGAATGAGAGAAATTTCAGCAAACATCCCCAGCATAAACTATTTCAGGAGATCTTTACCGCCTTGGTGAAAAATAGACTCATATGCAGGTAAGGTTTTTCCTGGAAAACAGACTTTTACTCAAGAGTGGCATATGCTGTCTATCGTGTCTCTAGAACATGACTGAAACATCTTACAGGATTGAACATGTCATTGAAGGAAAGGAGGAGGCAAATGAATAGGCATTACAGATGATCTTAAAAGCACTGATTAGGTACTGAATTTAGCTGAATTTCATGACAGATAAGGAAAAATGGGAAACACTCACGTTACCATGTTTTCTTTATTTTCTGAGTTTGGATACTTGAAGAGTTTATTGTGTGGGACCTTATGAAAGAGACATGGGGCAACACGGTGGACAACATTCTCATGGTGCACTTTTGCAGTGATTTGTGACTGATTAAATGGACTATGCTAACTTTGACCTTGAGGAAAGAAAGGATGAGTGTGTAACATCCAGCCACACCCTCCTAAAGATGTTTCTTCTCAAGACCAAATCGAACGTTCCTTCCTTTGCCTTTTTAACACAGGTGCAGTGTTGGGACTGTAGAGGAAGGATTAATTGACAAGTCCTTTAGATTCTCTCTCACAAATATGAGAGGTTTTCAGTGAGCCATCGACTGGTGCTGGATTGCAGTCAGGACTGAATTTTCTGTCCATTCTGAGCTGCTTTGTGGAAGAGCTGGGTATGTTGCTGCCAGATGTTAAGGAGGCTCCCAACATTCTGTCATGATAGGGCCCCATCTTTTGCTCTGCTCAGGAGGCCCACACTCTTTTCCCACATGCATCAGCTGAAAAAAATGCCTATAAAGAACTTTAAATCTTTCCCACTTTGTGACGTGATTGAGATATGTGAATTCCACCCCAGTGAAAATGGGAAAACATTATTTCTTTGTGATATAAAAATAGGAGTATTAATAATTTAATGCCTTGATCAAAATAAAACTCTGACTTGGCTGAGTGTAATAGCTGATTTTAAGTTGAACAGCATTCTGATGGGTCTCCATGATGACTCAGCTCCTCAATACCTGCTTAAGTGATGGCCTCATGTCTCCATCTTTTGGATGGGGTCATTTAGTATTATATATTTAAGCATTGGACTTAAATGATTGTCCAATACATAAGTTTCATTTAAAACAATACAGAATTGAGACTGTATCTATCATGGCTTTGTACTTAATTTAAGCAGAGGATTGTTAGATTGGCTCAGATGATACAAGAAGCCTAAAATCTTTACCAAGGTTATGTAATTGGGTCACTGTTCTGTTTTTGATTACATACTCAAAGATTGTCCAAAGATTAATGAACACTGCAAAGAACCTGAAATTATATATCTATTTCCACTATTTTCTGCTTAGTGTGAATGGAGTAGAACAATGCTAATAGCAGTATCATTATGTATGAAATGGTTTGGGAAATAAAGTTCTTCATTATTATTTTTTAAGCCAACTCACATGGACTCTTCAAGGGGATGCCCAGTAGACTATTTGTTGGGTCAATATTTGGGGGAAGACACTAGATGCAGAAATTGGTAGGGAAAATAACTGAGCACTGGTTGGCATCAACTAGTTGAAAAAGATTGCTAACAATTCTAAAGATCTAGAGATCTCTTTTCGGCCTTTAAAAATTCTTAGTGATTAAAGGAGCATCTTAGGTTGGATGAAGTTACTGGCTTGTAACATGAGCAGTCCCTGGAAGTTTTCAAACTAGGAAGAGATTATTGTAGATCTCTTTGCTTTCATAGTACAAGATAGAATTTAGGAATGTTGAACGTCAAGGGCATCCTTTTATGTCATCCTGTGGCTGCTGACAGATTGCTATGTTGAGTTCTATTCTAAAAGCATTGGGTAAAAGATGGCTTAAATATAAAGGTCTTCCATTGTGCCTGACCCCATATAACCTTGCTAAAATAGCCAGGATCACCCCTCTTTTTTCCTTCCCCTTTAACTTTAGACATATAGAAGAATTACACCTCAGGACATTTTCTGATATGGCTTGTTAACCCCTTTCTTTGCAAACATCAGATTTAGTGTTGGGTTGAAGGCTTAGATTCAATTCGATAAACAAACTGGTAAGCATCTACTATGTGTAAGGAAGGGAGGAAGTAAGTGGTGAAGAAGAATGAGAGGGTGAAAATTAAAAAAAGTAATAGGACATGTGGTCCTTTTCTCCCTGGTGACTCAAATTCTATCCTGATCAGCAAGACAATTACCCAATAAGGGAAAATATACTAAATATATACAATTTGTAGTAATACAATTAAAGCCTGCATGAGATTGCAGGGTCGGGGGTGGGTGGGAATGTGGGTCCTTGGTCCAGTTATGGTTGTAGATAAGACAGGTACATTCAATGTGTTATGCTACTCAATTTTGCCCTGAAAATATGACTTATTGGGAATTTAGTCTCATCTGTGAAGTGTGACCCCTTTCAACTCATTTCTCAATTTCTCCCAAATTGGTGGTAATGCTCTTCCTCTATGTTACTCTCCCCACTTGCAGCCTTTCCCTAAATCACACTTGTGGACACCTCCTGTCTGTGTTCTTTTCCTAAGATTGATTTGTGATTACTACCCCATTCTCAGAATGAAATTGCCAGATGGCATCTGAAACTGGAAAAGACTTGTTAATCCAGAGTCAGATAAGGTAACACTGCAAATACCTCACAGTAAATCTCAAAGGACAAGGGAACGTATCATCCGTGAACCTAGGTTACTCCTAGTTACACAATGGTAACTAATCTTAAAAAAAAAAACCTTTTATAATAGTATTTATTTATAATATACTACTATATAATATTTTATGTATTTATGGAGTACATGTGGTATTTTGTCACATAAATAGAATGTGTAATGATCGAGTCAGGGTATTTGAGGTGTCCATCACTTTGAGGATTTCTCATTTCTATGTGTTGGGAACTCTCTTCTAGCTACTCTGAAATAGACAGTACATCATTGTTAAATATAGTCACTTGACTCTGCTGTCAAATGATGGAACTCATACCTTTCATCTAACAATACATTTGTACCCATTAACCTACCTCTCTTTAATCCCGCCTGGCATTCACCCACCCTTCAAGGACTAAGGCATCTACTACTCTACTCTCTATCTTTATGAGACTGACTTTTTTAGCTTCCATATATGGGTGAGACCATGCAATATTTGTGTTTCTATGCCTGGGTTGTTTCACATAACATGATGTCCTCCAGTTTCATCCATGTTGCCACAAATGATGTGATTTTTTTTCTTTTTTATGGCCAAATAATGTTTCATTTTGTATTTATACTACATTTAAAAAATTCACTTGTTTGTTGATGGACACTAAGGTTGATTCCATATCTTTGCTATTGTGAACAGTGCCACAATAAACACATGAGTGCAAGTATCCCTTTGCTATACTGATTTCTTTTTCTTTGGATAGATACCCAGTAGCAGAATTGCTGGATCATAGGTTCTATTTCCATATTTTTGAGAAATCATCATAATGTTTTCCACAGTGGTGGTTCTAATTTGCATTCCCACCAACAGTATGAGTTCCCTGTTCTCCACATCCTCATCAGCATCTGTTAGTTTTTTTGTCTTTTAATCATAGCTGTTCTAACTGGGGAAAGATGATATCTTATTGTAGTTTTGATTTGTATTTGTCTGATGATTAATGATGTTGAGCTTTTTTTTCATATACTTGTTGGCTATTTGTATGTCTTCTTTTGAGAATTGTCTTTTGCCCACTTATTTTATTTTAGTTCTGGTGTACATGTGCAGAATGTGCAGGTTTATTACATAACTATACATGTGCCATGGGGGTTTGCTGCACCTATCAATCCATCATCTAGGTTTTAAGTCCCACATGTATTAGGTATTTGTCCTAATGCTCTCCCTCCGCTTGCCACACACCCCCTGACAGGCCCCACTGTGTCATGTTCCCCTCCCTGTGTCCATGTGTTCACATTGTTCAACTCCCATGTATGAGTGAGAACATATGGTGTTTGCTTTTCTGTTCCTGTGTTCGTTTGCTGAGAATGATGGTTTCCAGCTTCATCCATGTCCCTGCAAAGGACATGAACTCATTCTTTTTTATGGCTGCATAGTATTCCATGGTGAATATGTGCCACACCTTCTTTATCCAGTCTAGCCACACTGTCTTCCCCAATGGTTGACCTAATTTACACTCCCACCAACAGTGTAATGGTGTTCCTATTTCTCTACAGCCTCTCCAGCATCTGTTGTTTTCTGACTTTTGAATAATTGCCATTCTAAACTGGCGTGAGATGGCATCTCATTGTGGGGTGTTTTTTTTTTTTCTTTTTTTTTGAGATGGAGTCTCACTTTGTCACCCAGGTTGGAGTGCAGTGGCATGATCTCAGTTCACTGCAACCTTCACCTCCTGGGTTCAAGCAATTCTTCTGCCTCAGCCTCCCAAATAGCTGAGACTACAGGCATGCACCACCATGCCTGGCTAATTTTTGTATTTTTAGTAGTGATGGGGTTTCACCATATTGGGCAAGCTGGTCTTGAACTCCTGACCCAATCATCTGCTTGCCTCAGCCTCCCAGAGTGCTGGGATTACAGGCATGAGCCACTGTGCCCAGCCCTCATTGTGATTTTGATTTGCATTTCTCTAATGACCAGTGATGATGAGCTCCTTTTTATATGTTTGTTGGCTGCATAATTGTCTTTTTTTGAGAAGTGTCTGTTCATATACTTCACTTTTTGATAAGGTTGTTTGTTTTTTTCTTGTAAATTTGTTTAAGTTTCTTGTAGATTCGGGAATATTAGACCTTTGTCAGATGGGTAGATTGCAAAAATTTTCTCCCATTATAGGCATGGGCAAAGACTTCCTGACTAAAACACCAAAAGCAATTGCAACAAAAGCCAAAATTGACAAATGGGATATAATTAAATTAAAGGCAAAAGCAAAAGAAACTATCATCAGAGTGAGCAAGCAACTTTGCCTACTTTTCTTTGAGACGGAGTTTCGCTCTTGTTACCCAGGCTGGAGTGCAATGGCGCGATCTCGGCTCACCGCAACCTCCGCCTCCTAGGTTCAGGCAATT